CACTATGTAACTGTAGGAAGGTGTTACAGTGGGTCTGACTTTCTGTGACCATAAGGTGAGTTACTCAGCAAGGTTATATAACAAAATACTATTCAAAGCTTTGCCTTCCAGAATGCAGTTTATGTTGTTTTTATGTTATCCTCATAATCATTTGGTTGACTCAAATTTGTGCCATTAATATAGGATAGTATTAGTTGTCAGTATATGAGAAAATGTAATTGGTGAGCTCGGGATCCTACCTTGTGAAGAAAAGTGCATTGAAAGTGTGGAGACAACTAGTACTGTCCTCAACTACCTAGCTTTTGTTGCTAGGCTGCACCTATATCCATTTTGTTCATGTCGTTTTTGCTGCCTGGAATTTATTTATTTATGTATTTTTTTGCTTTGTCAAATTGTCAGTCTTCCTAAGAGTCTCAATATAGATATAATATATAGATAATTATATATAGATATATAATCTAATTATATAATATATGTTACATTCTTTGGGCATCTTTTCTGTTCTCTTGAAATAGCGGTTTGACTATTGAGAGGAGCCATACTTGTCAGGTTCAAATAGGATTGTAACCTGAGTATTTTACTTCTATCAAACAAGCTTCTTAATAGCAGAGACTGTGCTCATTCACTCTCAGATTTTTGAGTGACAAGATAATATCAGTGTACTAACTGGTTCACTTAAACTTGTTAAAAGGATGACTGATAATAAATAAGTTTAAAATTCATCTATTTTATCATCTGATCTTCATTTGTATTAGTATAGTATACTTCTGTATCTTGAAGCTCAGTTTATTTTTGTATGTGTGTGTGTGCTGTGTGTATTAGTGTTTGAATATGTTTGAAAAGCTTAAATAGCATTTAAGGTCTTACAATACTTATATTAAGTTGGTCAATGCTTTCACATAGACTAGGAGAAAAGAAGAAACATAGAAAGGAGGGCACTGGCGAGAAGATAAGTAGTCTCAGCTGTATGTTCCAGACCTGGATAAGGAATGAGGGTGATGAGTGAGTTTCATAGGAAAGTGGAGAGGTTGAAAACTGAAGCTTTTCTTAAAATTGGGGAACAAACTGTTGATAACAGATTGGAGATGTATGTGGAATTAAGGTTGGAAAGTAGAAGTTGTTTCTCTTCAGGAGAGGGCTAGGATTTTGAGAGGCAAAGGTAGGTAGGAGGATGCAGAGGAAAAGGTAGAAAATGTTAGAATTTTACAGGTCCCTCTTTTTGCCTCCCATCACCTGTACCATAATTTGACAATGAACAAAGGAAATTTACTGCTTTGTATTAACTCTTGATTTATTTGTGTCATGATCTTCATCAGTATCTCTCATAAAAGTGGGAGTAGCCAAGTCTTATTTGTACCATCAGTGTTGTCGGCATCAAAATATCTGTGATTAGCTCTGTCACAGTTCCCCTTGGCTGTAGCTTGTGAGACAGACAGACTTTAGACATGCCTTCCTATTTTTTCAGAGCATATTATGTCTACCACATTGTTTAGTAAGTCTACTATCAAAGTAAATGACTGATTTTTTTCTAAGTGTCTTACCACATACCTTGCTTTTATAATATCTGAATTATTTTTTTCAGTTCTAACATTTTGTCTTTATGATATCTTTAATACTCACTAAATTTGGCAGTATTCTTTTGCATGTGATATCTCTTCAAATCATAGTTTTCAAAAGTTTGGATAGATTCCCAAAAGTGCAGTGCCTTCCTATGTGCTTTGACATACTAGTCATCTGCCACTGTTTGATGACTAATCCTTTTCTTCTGCAAGTTTCCTTTGGACGCTTTCCTTTCCTTTTCTTCTCAGCTCTTACAAAAGCCATGCTAGTACTTAAAAAATAATAGCTAAGGGACTTTATTTACTTTTCTTATGAACATTAATTGACAGAAAAGCAAAAAGCCCTTCCGCACCTCAGTTGCCAGTGCAGCTCATATGGGTTGTTGCCAACTTACAGAATGCAGCAGATGATGTTTGAGGCATGACCAAGGTGTGGAAGGAAGTATTTTAATAATCAAGTATATTGCCTTTTGAATAACATTAAACACCTGTTGTTTGTAATAGTTGACTAAAATATTATTGATAATTGCTGCATGTCGCTTACCATGCCGCCCTGAGCACGTGTAATGTCTGATGGTGTATATTGGATTGTGCTTGGAACGTGACACTGTAAAGGTGCATACCACCTTCAGACTGAACCCATGTATACATACAAATAGTGAGACTATAAAATTTATTTTGCATGACACTGTGATGGTATTTAATGTATAAAGTACATGGTTGAGAACCACTCACTTGAATTACTAAATATCGAGATCTCTTAATGTTTTAAGTAAGGTTATGATTTTGTGTTAGGTCATATTCATAGTTATCTTGTTTATTGTCACCCTGTGGTTGTGACTGTGCCTGGGACTGGGCACCCCTACACAAAAGACATGAGTGAAGTTACTATCTAATTTCTTAGATCNTCATGTTTCCTGTCTAGTGTTATGACCTACAAACACACAAATAAGTGCACACACATATTTAAATTTATTTTCTGCTCATCTTTGAGAGAAAATGTGTTATTTGTCTTTCTGAGTCTCGTTTTCTGTAGCATTAATTTGTTCCAGTTGCATCCATTTTTGGCTGGAGGTGATTTTAATTCACCACTGGCTGAAAGTCAGATTTAAAATGTTCTAGAACTGCAAATTTAATTAGAATAGGAAAATGATTTCTAGAGTTTTGTTTGTCTTTGTTTCTTGTCTATCTTTCTCCATGTGTTCCTTTCTTTGATTTTGAGCAAAACTGCTAAATACATGTAAATAGTTTGAAACTTTGGTGCTGATTGCCCTTTGAGATAATGTAGAAAACACTGAAGGACTTGGACAAGGACACTGGAACCAATTACAATACCTGATATTTGGGCACATTTTCCTCAGACCTTTTTTTCTTTTTCTGTGTTTCTTTTTAATATTTCATTCACGCATATTACTATTTCTCATTCTGTGCACATCACTACTTACTGAGATAATCCTGGGTGTATGACTTAGTTTCCTGCTTTTTCTACTTAATGCAAAATCATTTTAAAATGTCTTTAGATTAAGCCAGATTTATACTTGGGAGGCAGAGGCAGGTAGATCTGGCCAAGTTCAAGTCTATCCTTTTCTATATAGCAAGTTCCAAGATACCTGTAGCTGTCTATAGCTACATAGTGAGACCTTTTATCAAAAATAGAAGTTCTTAAATTTTTCAAAAAGTGTTGAATGGCAGTGTAACAGTTTCATGTGGACTGCAAAAATAGAATTACTCTAGTACTATAGATAGGTCACTTCCAGTTACAATAATTGCATGATTAATAAATTAACTTAGTTTATTAAGGTAACATTACAATATTACCTTTTGTTTTGTTCATTTCATAGATTTCTTTTCCTAGATCTTGAAGTTTATAGAATACTCTGAACACAATATTTCCTGCACAGTTCTGTGTTTTAGTAATGATTATACCACTGTAAATACTACACCAGTAATGATTATGTGCATGATGATTTTATTCCATTTTTAACCTGCATGCTTTTATTTACACTAACTAGACACTCAAGTAAAATGGTGACCAGAAATAGTGAGTTTTGTGGTATTTGACTTGTGCTGCCTTTGGTTACATAATGTGATGTTAGAGGTGAATTTTCTATGGTTGTTTGTCTTCTACCAAGTTGAGGAAGTTCCTGTGTTTGAAATTTTAAATATAGTTGAGTTACTGAAAGGTTTTCAAAAGTACTTAAACATTTTAATTTTTCTAGGTTTTTTTTCTCTTCTTAAAATTCCATTGTTTTGTATAAAATGATAGTGTTAAGAATTTGACTTTGCTCGTATATAGCCAAGTTCATATCTGTTTCGCCACTTAGAATTATGTAGCCATGACAAGTTACTAAGCACATTTAACAGCTCGGTTTTTGTGTCAACAATACATTTTTGCATTCTCCGAAATATTAGGAATATAGTAGGTTTAATTTATTAAATATATATTTAACTCTTTTTGTATGTACTGTTTTGTGTAATTTATAGATGTAAATATTTATAGAAGAAGCAGAAATAGCTGCTCCCTAAGAGCATGCTTAATGCTTAGTAGGTAAATGGAAAAATGAGATTTTGTATGTGTGTGTATCATCTGTAGCTAAGTGGAATGGAGAAAAAACAGAGCTTTCCAAGGTGTGATGGGCAAGGTCTGTTTTAGATGAGGAAATCCTAGAAAGATGAAACTAAAGGATTTTAAGTGTAGGCTATTTGGATACTACTTGAAAACAGGAAGAAACATTGTGGCTAGAGCAAAAGATGAGAGGTTGAGGTGTCAGAGAAATACTACAGAGCCTTAAAGATCATTGAGGAATTTTAACCTTTACGCTGATATGATAGAAATGTTTGTGTGAATCTGATTTATCTTCCAAAAGGGAAACTGCTATAATGGGAATGAGTATAGTAGGCTATTCAGAGGCTATTGATGAGAAGTTATTAGAACATGTGTATATTTTATAGGAACTATTTGTTTAATATTTACTAAATATTTCCTGTCATGGTTATAATACTATTTGTTGGGCATAATTTCATCTTTGTTTTTTAATTATTCAGAATGTTGTACTCATTAAGTTTAAAGTGTAGATGATATTTAAGAATACCTATGACTTGAATTTTTTTTCTTAATCTGGTAGTGGTGACAAATACCTCTACGTATTTAGCGAACAAGATATAGACTTATAATGGAAATATTAAAATTCTAGGTTATGAACATATATGGGTTTGTCTTTTTTAAACTCTAGTTGTGATACTAATAATTAGCCACAGTTATTAAGGGAGAATGATGGGAAAGCTTTCTTGGGTATGCAGAAAAAAATCCTATGACTTAGCAAAGGGGGACTATTCATAATTGATTTTTTTGCAGTTAATTAACCAAGTAGCTTTTAAATAGAATTATGCTTTGAGTTACTATCACCAACACAACTTATATTACCTACTTTCATTTTCCAGGAACATCACTTACAGCGAGCTATTTCAGCACAGCAAGTATTTAGAGAAAAAAAAGAGAGCATGGTCATTCCAGTTCCCGAGGCAGAGAGCAACGTCAACTATTACAATCGCTTGTACAAAGGGGAGTTTAAACAGCCCAAACAGTTCATTCACATTCAGCGTAAGTTTGCTAATTGATTGTTTTCTGTTTGTAATTTTAAATTATCAATTACTGAAAATCTTTTATATTGTCTGAGATTTTAAGCTTTCAGTTCATATATTCTGATTAATAGAATGTTAAACATTAGAGATTTAAATTTGTTTATATTTTCATTTGAGCTTGAAGATCACTTTGAGTTTTTTTTTATTGAAAAAATTTTCCAACTTTGAGTTTTAATAATATTTGAACTATGTGATGTTTATATAGTATATGATTTTATAGAACACAGTTTATTATTCAGGTAAAAAGATGGTGGGCTATATTCCTCAATAAGATTTGTTTTTTAAAAGGCCAGTGTTTATAATGCTCACTAGTAGGGCTTTATCTTTAGAAAATTCAGAATAACATTTTTTGTTTACGTTTTATAAACTCTATTTTTTTTACTACTCTTCTCCCACTATTAATACATAAATGGTCATCATCTTTAACCTTATTATTTTGATGATCTCCTAACTATAACATTTATTACCCCTTGTTTTCTGTTCTTACGCTATTCTGTCAGCTCTACAATGTTTGCCTTCCACCAGAGTGGTCTTCCAACCTTTTCAGTCTGATCCAATCATGTTCTTGATTAAAATTCTTGTTCCTTATTGCTAATATTATAGACACGTGTCAGTGCCTTCATATCTTGTCAGAATTGTAAACAAATTTTACATTTTACATGTGGATGACTTGTTAAGATGAGACTCCAGGGCTCTATTTTGGGAATTCCTGCTGAAGACTCTCCTTGGGTATGGGGACTAGAGATGGATATTTTGACATCATAGGGTTTTAGATCTGATTTTAGATTTGTTGATGCCTGGCAGGTACTATACCCTTGGATGCCATCCTCCCAGCAATGACAAGTTTTAATAAAGTTTCCTAGGTAATTCTGAAACGTCACACTTAAGATTGATAATTTTTTCATTGATCCTAAGACGTCCATCTTTGGTTTTTTATCTTTGAAATGAGTTTTTGTCTTCAGTTGCTGTTGTCCCTAACTGAAGTTTGCCCCTCTGAACAGAATCCTCATGTATTTCTGAGAGACAGCAGGGTACTGCCAACTTAAGACTACTTGAAAACAGTTGCTTGCTTGTTTCTATCTCTTGCTTTGGTCTATACTGTTAGCTTTGATCCATACTACAGACCGACTTAGAGTTCAGTTCTCAAAAGGATTTCTGCCCCCCCCTCCTTCTGCCATAATAAATTGAGCAATTCAGTTTTTTTTATTTGCTCTCCCTCTGCATGTTTGACTTATCTTACATTTAAAGTAAACTATTAAACATTTTAATAGTAGAACTCAGTCATAAAGCTTTAGGACCCATATATAGTAATGCTGTATCTTGTAATTAATGACAGTTCAGATAGAATCAATAATAGAGTAAATATATAACCTTAGTGGCTTGGGTCATCCCTTAATCTTTAGTGTCATTTCCCGTTATTCTTCCCCTCACTCTGTCCTAGGGAGTACTGCAACTCACCTACATTTCCTTACCTGTACATACTCAAAAGCTCTTTTCCATCCCATAGCTCATTTAAGACTAAATTCCCCTAGGAAGTTTACCCTGACTCTTCTCATTCTATCTCTCCTCTTTGTTTATCTTGTGCTTGTGTGTGGAGGTGGGGGTGTATATCCTTTTCAGATTTTCTGTATGTAGTAACCATTGCTAATCATTCTTCTGTCTTTTAGACTGTGATCCCCCCTGGTGAGCAGATATTTTTCTCTTGTTTATATGCTTATTGACTCCTTTCCAAATGATACTAAAAGTTAAGTCCTGTGGGAAAAGAATCATTTTCTAGTGACCTTTTTTCATTTTGCTTTCTTTTTGTGCTCAGGATAGAATAGACCTAGGCAAGTACCATACCACTAGGCCACACCCCAGCCTTTCCTCTGAAGCATTCAGGGAGAATATATTCACAAACATTATTTATGTGATTTGCTTTCTGTGTTCTTTGACTTTTAATCCTTTCAGTTTCTTGAATTTGCCTTTGCCTTTATATCAATAAGGAAGGAGACAGATTTTCACAGTGGGAATCTTAAACATTTTTCCTAACCTAAAAAAAATCAGTTGTTTTGCATTTTAATAGCAGGGCTAAATACCAAGAACAGCTATTAAAAATCTTCCTTGAAAAGTAAAACACTAAAACTAAGTATAACACATTTGCCCCATTTGATGCAACAAACATGTCTCTTCATTGATTTTTTTCATTTTATTTTATTCTAAGTTTGTCAAAATGTAGTATGTATTTTATTATATATCATATTGTATATGGTAGTTTCATATTCTACCTTTCTCCCTTAAATTTTAAGGTTGTATATATATAACCTGTCATTTTAAGCTTATATGTAAATTTTATATAATTTCTTTTTTTTTGTTACATTTATTGGTGTTTTGTCATGTGTTTCAGTTCCTCTGGAACTGGGTTAGAGACCCATGTGAGCTGCCATGTGGGTCCTGGAAATTGAATCGGGTCTTCTGGAAGAACAATCAGTCCTCTTAACCTGCTGAGTCATTTCTTCAGCCCTAAATACAACTTCTTACAAACCCTATAAATATAATGAATTTTGGAAAATGTCACTAAATTTTTCCCTTCCTTCTTACTAAAAGATTTGTAAGCATCCCATTTACCTAGCTAGGGGAAAAAATCATGGTGGTAGGCATTGGCTAAAATCTTCTGTGACTGTGTGTTTGTTTAACTGGAGGACTAGTTGGAATAGAACTCATAGAATGCATCCATCATGCATATTCCTATCATTGTGACCACCCATTTCCGGATCTCTCAGCACCTTGCTGTTGCCTATAGGACAGAATATTTATTATACTTGTGTAATGTAATGACTTTCTTTTACCTCTCCAACAACGTTTGGCTCTGTGTTTTTACTATAATGCCAACTTTATTGAACTGCATTAAAATTGGGTGTCTTTTTCTTCCTCTGAATTCTAAGCTCATTAGAAGGAGCCCATCACATTTACTTGAGTATTTCCATTACCCATGCAGTCTGAAGCTGCTCATTCAGTGAACTTTGGTTTGCTAATTCTTCTGACCTTTCATGTTTTGAGCTATAGGGGTAGGAAACTCTCTAAAACTCACTTTATATATAAAATACCTTATTTGCTTGCACCTTCTTAGTCCTTCTACTCTTATTTTTAAGATAAGTGTTGTCCCTGGGATTGCTTTTAGGAGTGTTTCATGTCTCCTTTCAACAAAGTTTTTGTTGCTGTTTGCTTAAAAGCCTCTTCAGTTGCAAAGAAGGCAAAAGCTTTCTGGTGTCTCTCAGATTTTTAAAATCTGAATCTCATTGCATGCTACTTAACATGATTTTGATTAACTTGAATGTTTGTTGAATAAATGAGTAAATGATTAAAGATAAATGCATACATGCCTTGATTGTTCTTAGTAATTTTACAGGACATAAAAATTGTATACTAAGTTAAATATAAAACTAGATTATTAACACATCCAGTGAAATTTGAAGACTTGCTCTGTGGCATCCAAGTTAGAAATTAAAAAGTGTGTTCCCCTACTCATCAGCAGTGTTATTTTAGGGTAGAAGAATTGAGAGTAGGTCAGGTTTTATGGCACATATGTATAATCCCACCATATGGGGGGTAGAGGCAGGAAGCTTGTGTGATCAAGGCCAGTCTGAGCTACATAGTAAGATCCTGTCTCATAAAACCAAAAGCCTGAAATGTAGCTTAGTGGTAGAACATTTGTCTAGGATGTACAAAACCTTGGGTTTGACTCCCAGCACAGACTCCCTATCTTACCCCCTACCCCCCAGTGCTGAGAATGGAATGAATCTGGATGTGAGATAAACATCTTGTTTGTTCCTATCGTTTTTTGTTGTAATAGGAGCGGCGGGGCTGAGTCCCCAGCACTCCGGCCGCCTGCTAGCTTATGCCCCGAAATAATTATACGGACACTGTATTCTTTTAAACATTGCTTGGCCCACTAGCTCTAGCCTCTTACGGGCTAATTCTCATATTTTGCCTAACCCATTTCTAATAATCTACATAACACCGGTCTTACCGGGAAAGATTCAGCATGTCTGACCTGGCGGCTTGCTCCATCGCGCCTGGCTCTGAGAGGAGCTGCATGATTTCTGACCTAACTTCCTCTTCCTCCCAGCATTCTGTTCTGTTTACTCCTCCCACCTATGTTTTAACCTATCAGGGCAAGCAGTTTCTTTATTTAATTAACCAATGGCCTTCCTCCATCACGTTTTCAGTGTGTTTTCTATAGTTACCACACTGGCATTCTGAGAATTTACTCATAACACATGAGGGTATTCCTTTTGGACTTGAATAAGTTAATTAAATTCGGGACCCTCTTGAGGGACAGTGTTGGTTACTTGCAGTCAGTTATTTGATTTCCCATTACCCCTTTTATTTAGTGGGGAAATATTTTAAAGTTGTTGTCAAGTGTCAGAATTATAGAACATGAATAAATTTGAAATGTTGCATTAATGTTAATTTTGCATCTGCTTTTACAGTTAGTTAAATGGTCTTAGTAGCAAACCTCTATTCCTTGGTTTAAAAGGAAGGTCCATCTCCTCTTTCACTGTAATACCTTTGGCCATATATCTATAGATCACCTCCCCTGCTAGTCTAAAGAGAGTTCAGGAGAAAGAGTTGGTGAAGTAGCTCCTTGTTACCTGTCAGGTCAGAAACACACTCAGAGAATTGAATTGTTCTAATCTGCTCCTAGGATCCTGACGCCTTGGAAGATAAGTATGTGTGGCCACTGCTTTCACTTCAGTATACTTGGTGTAGGCTCCTTGGGAAGTTGATTATTTTCATTCTGCATTGAAAAAGGTGAAACGACACCCAGTATAAACTAGACCGTGATATTGTTTGTTTTCAGCACGTGTGTGAAATATATGCCAGACTAACATCTAATTTTACTTTGTTATCCTTGAAATATTCTTCATTGTTTTCTCCAGTGATTAGGACTGAACATTGACCCTTTTCCTTGAGACA